CAGGAATAACTGTGCCCTATAAATGAAACATGATCCTCCCGTCCCCATCGCCTCTCAGCCCTGTCTCTGCTCCTCCAACCCCTTTCCTCTCTCTGCCTCTTGGATGCTCCAGCGCACCCTGGCTCCAAGACTTGCGCTCTAGCAGACCCTCTTCCTCATCTGCTTCGAGGCTTCTGAGAGTACCTTCTCCAGTCAATCAGTTTACTCCCACCCTCTCTCTCCAGCCTATTCCCTGCCTCCGTGTTCCCGGTCCTCATCCTGGCCGACCTACTACACAGCCCCAGACCCTCTCCTGCAGGTATCCACACGGCTTGCTCCCCGCCTCACTTGACACAGGACAGGCACTCAACAAATCTGTGATGAACAGGGGTATCTGTGCTATGCAAAATAACGTACTTCAGTAAAACTGTCAAAAGCTTAAAAATATCCATTACACTTTCCTTCTTACACCCTCCGCAGACAATTTCTGGGCAGTTTTGTTTGTGTTTATAGTGGTTTTATTACAGCAGAATGCTGGACCAGTTCTTCACAAGTTTATGAACTCGACGAAATTTCTCTTTATCTTCCCACCCTGTCTTTCAATATGGTGTCCCTATCTCTTTGACTTTCTATCTTGGACTTACTGAACACCAATTTAAGCCTGTTAGCAAGGATACAACAGAACTGTGATGGATATTCTGGATTCTTCACTGCCCGGTGTAGTAATCCGTAGCCACATGTGGTTATTGAGCCCTTGAAATGTGGCTAACACAAGTAAGGAAATGAATTTTTAATTAAAAGAACAATTGTAATTGATTTAAATCTAAATAGCCACTTGCGGCTACCTTATTGGAAACTGCAGCTCCATCTTTAAAGAATCTTTATAAGCTCTTTGAGGAAAATATATCTTCTCTCATGATATAATTATAAAGAAAATCAATATCTCCTCTTTTTATTATTTTGAAGTATAGTTGATTTACAATGTTGTGTTAATTTCTGCCGTGGGTGTGCGTACTCAGTCATGTCCAACTCTTTTCGACCCTGTGGACTGTAGCGCAGCAGGCTCATCTGTCCACGGGACTTTCCAGGCGAGAAGAATGCTGGAGTGGGTTGCCATTTCCTTCTCCAAATTTCTGCTGTACCGCAAAGTGATTCATTTATCCATATATGCACATTCTTTTTTCATATTCTTTTTCATTATGGTTTATCACAGGATATTGAGTCCAGTTCCCTATGCTGCACGGTAAGACCTTGTTGTTCATCCACTCTGTATATACTAGTTTGTACCTGCTAATCCAAAACTCCCAGTCCATCCCTTCCCTGTGAGTCCTCCCCTTTGACAACCACAGGTCTGTTCTCTATGTCTGTGAGTCTGTCTCTGTTTTGTAGATAAATTCATTTGTGTCATATTTTAGATTTCACGCTTAAGTGGTAGCAAATGGCGTTTGTCTTTCTCTTTCTTTCTTCACTTTATGATAATCTCTAGGTCTAACCATCATGTTGCTGCAAATGGAATTGTTTCATTCTTTTTATGGCTGAGTAGTATTCCATTGTATATATGTACCACACCTTTATGCATTCATCTGCCAATAGACACTGAGGTTGTTCCCATGTCTTGGCTACTGTGACTAGTGTTGTTATGGACATAGGGGTGCATGTTATATTGTTTTCTTCATTATACTGTTTGAATATACTGTTTTTGTCCAGACACTTTTGTCCAGATATATGGCCAGGAGTGGGGTTGGTGGATCACATGGCAATTCTATAGCTTCTTGAGGACCCTCCATTTGTACCATTTTCCATTGTGGCTATACCAACTTACACTCCCACAAACAGTGTAGGAAGGTTTTCCCTTTTCTCCACAGCCTCTCCAGCATTTGTTATTTGTAGACTTTAAAAAACTTTTTAATTTATTTTTATTTATTTATTTTTGGCTATACCACACAGCATGTGGGATCTTAGTTCCCCGACCAGGGATTGAACCTGTACCTTCTGTATTGGAAGCTCAGAGTCGTAACCAATGGTCCTTCAGAGAAGCTCATTTGTAGACTTTTTAATGATGGCCATTCTGACTGGTGTGAGGCAGTACCTCATTGTAGTTTTGATGCATATTTCCCTAATAATTAGTGATGCTGAACCTCTTTTCATGTGCCTGTTGGCCATATGAATGTTTTCTTTGGAGAAATGTCTGTTTAGGTACTCTGCCCATTTTTTGATTGGGTTGGGTTTTTTGTTATTGTTGAGATGTATGAGCTGTTTGTATATTTTGGATATTAAGCCCTTGTTGGTCACATGGTTTGCAAATACTTTCTTCCATAGTGTAGGTTGTCTTTTCATTTTGTTATTTGTTTCCTTTGCTGTGCAAAGTTTGATTAGGTCCCATTTGCTTATTTTTTCTTCTATTTCTATTGCCTAAGAAAACACTGATATGATTTATGTCAGAGAAGGTTTTACCTACACTCTCCTCTAGAAATTTTATGATGTCTTGTCTCAGGTTTAAGTTTTTGTTTTGGGTTTATTTTTGTGCATAGTGTGAGGGTGTGTTCTAACTTTATTAATTTATGTGCCACCATCCAGCGTTCATAAAACCACTTGCTGAACAGACTGTCTTTTCCCCATTGTATGTTTGGGCCTCCTTTTTTGAAGATTAATTTTCCCATCAGTGTGTGGGTTTACTTCTGGGTTCTCTATTCTGTTCCAATGATCTAGGTATCTGTTTTTGTGCCAATGGCATGCCATTTTGATTACTGTAGTTTTGCTGTATTGTTTGAAGTCTGGGAGGGTTATGCTTCCTGCTTTGTTCTTTTTCCTCAGCATTGCTTTGGCAATTCTGGGTCTTTTATGGTTCCTGTGCATTTTAGGATTATTTGTGCTAGCTCTGTGAAAAATGTTATTTGGGTAATTTGATAGGAATCACAGTAAATCTGTAGGTTGCTTTTGGTAGCATGGGTCTTTTAACAATACTAATTTTTCCAGTCCAGAAATCACATGATATCTCCATTTCTTTGAATCAGGTTGAATTTCCTTTATTCATATTTTATAGTTCTTTGCACATAAGTCTTTCACCTCCTTGGTCAGGCTTATTAGAAAAAAAATTTTGGTGTGATTTTAAAAGTCTTTTTTACATTCCCTTTCTAGTACTTCATTGCCAGTGTAAAGAAATGCAAGTGATTTCTGTATGTTAAACTATTTCCTGGACTCTAACTATTTAGTACCTTGACTATTTCCTCTTTATTAACAATTTGGAAAAGTATTACAGAAAGAAGTGACTTGAGAGTCAAATTTTAGGTTCATGAAAAGTTGTGAGTTAAACCCAAGATGGCCAGGGTTGGGAGAAAGAGAGTATGGAAATTACTTTTTAAAATCAGTACAATCATCAAGTTCTCACAATAAGCCAGTGAGGCTGGTTCAACTCTTCCCACCTTCCCTTCCCACACAGATGGAGAAATGGACCCTCTCAAAGTTCAACTGTGGACAGAGATGCTGTCTGCCTGACCCCGGAGCCTGAGCGGTACGCTGTGGCCACTCTCTCCTCTCCTAATGCTGTTGTTTAAGCCAGAGCACCGCAGAACAGTAACATAGGCTACTAGAGGGAAGGAGATGGACATTCAGACAGTGCACTTGAGATTTTGTAGGGCTTATATGGAAGCGATAAAGTCAAGGGTATAGCCCTGGGTATGTAGTCGGAGGTAAGACAGTCAAGCCAACAACTGGAAGAACACGCCTCACAGAACTCATTGGTTAAAACCAAAATTTTGTCGTGGGTTCTCTGTAGGTCAAAACAATGTGGCAAATTGTGACTGTATTGAGAGTTCCTGTTTGCCTTTTTCACCAGCGGGCATACCCAGCAGAAGATGCGGCCCTCCCTTTTCCTGCAGCTGATCTTTATTAGTGTTTACTGCTCACTGGTATAAACTGTGCTCCTCAGAATTGGATTAGGGAGAGATCTGGTCTAAATTAAAGCTGTAATAAATGAGCACTGTTTACATTTCCTCACACCCGCCCTTCTCCACACACACACATCAAATTACTCTGGAAATGAAATGCAAAATAAAAACGAGGAAGGGCTGTTTTTCATTAACGTGTAATTATAAAGTGCTGGGGAGCCCTGCTGGGTGGAGAAGGAAGGCCCATAGTTGGGGCAGCGATGCTGGAGGGTGCGATATTTCCCAGTGCTATTAACTACAGATGGAGTGTTATTTCCACATCTCTAAGAAGAGATGAATAACAGTGAGGACTTCGATGGATCGCCCCAGGCTCAAATCAAGACATGCCGGAGATGTGTTCCTTACTGTGGGCTCTGGGTGGGGGCCACTTCCTGGTCTTTGCCAGCTTCTAGAACTCACCTGCAGTCTTTGGCTCATGTCCACCTTCTACCACTTTCAAAGCCAGCAAGCAAGTTGGGTCTTTCTTAAGTCATGTCTCCCTGACCTTCTCCACTAGCATCTGCCCTAGCTCGTCCACTACCTGTTTCCATTTTTAAGGACCCCGTGCTTACACTGGCCCCATTCAGACAGTCTTCCTATTTTAAGATAATCTAATTAGCAACCTGATCTATCTAATTCAGATAATCTTCCTATTTTAAGATAATCTAATTATCAGCCTTAATTCTATCTGCAACCTTAATCCCCTTGTGCCAGGTTCCAGGGATCAGGATGTGGGCATATTGGGTTGGGGCAGATGGGGGTACTGTTCTTTCTACCACATATCCTAACTTCAGGAATCCTTCCATGCTCTGGGACCTAAAATCCATTGTTTCTACAACTTAGAACTTTCTGTCACCTTGCTTCATACCATCGTTTCTAACTTTTCTCAGCCAGAATTCCACAATCAACTATTAAAATTGTGTCTTTCATACACTTTCCATGCCCTTGTCCCCATCTCTTGCTTCACTGTTCTTACCTGGCAAAACCTCAGAGAGTAGGATTGAACCCAGCACTGCATGCTCTGCGCCTAAATCCATGTGGCTACAGATCTGGCCGGAGGACAGACACTACCAGTAGGACCATCATGCTGCTCACCGGTGTAGGACAACTCCCGGGCCCGTTCGTTCTGCACGACAGTTTCACACTTCTTGTCCTTCAACTCTCGACCCGGCCTCCCCCATCAACACTTTCAGCTAATGACCTTTCTCACTGAGAAAACAGAAGCGATCAGAAGAGACCTTCAGGAGACCCCTGTCATCACATCTAAGCCTGGGCCCCATGTCCTCCACCTTCCCTCCCGCTGCTCCAATCTAACCAAGGCCAGCACCTCCTCTTGCATCTGTATCCCGGTCCCCTACCCCATCCTTCCCAGCAGCACAAACACATGCCTGATTTCTCTGATCCTAAAAGCAAACAGCAAACGAACCCTCTCTTGACCCCACTGATCCTTCCAGCTACAATCCCATTCCTCTTTTACCCTTTAGGACAAAACTCCTCAGAAGAGTTACCTGATTTGCTGTGTTCAGCCCTCTTTCGCAATTCTTCCTTAACCCTCTGCAGTCACACTTTTGACCCCAGCCCCTAATCTCAGCTGTCCTTGTTGAGGTCATCGAATGACCACCATGCTGGTAAATCCAAGGGTCCCTTTTTGGTCTCTGTCTTACTTTGCATATTAATTTTTCATTGCCCTTGAAGCACTTTCCTCACTTGGCCGCCAAGGTTCTTATTCTCCACCTACTTTATTGGCCACTTTTCAGTCTCCTTTGCTAGTTCCACCCGGATTAAAGTACCTCATGTCTTTTCCATCCATACTGCCTTCTGAATGAGCTCAGCCACTCTCACGGCTTTAAATATATCTATATGGTGTTGATGCTCAAATGTGTATTTCCAAACCCAACATTCCCCCAGGCCCCACACTCAGAGCCAGCACATCCTGGACAAGGGCCCTTACGGGTCTGACAGACATCCCCAAACCGACCATGTTCAAAACCAGCCAACAATCTCCTCAAAACCTGATCTCCCCTCAGTGTTTCGTATTTCAGTAAACAGCTGATCCATCCCCTTGTTGCTTAGTCAATGCGCAGTTGCAATGCTTGTGGTCCTTCTCAGCTCCCCTCTTTTTCCTATCCACATCCCGACTACCTCAGACCCTTGACGTGGCTTTCAAAGTATGTCCAGGCACTGCGGAATTCTCTCCAGCTCCACTGCTGGCGTCCTGGTCCAAGCCACCATCATCTGGACAGAGTCATTATAAGAACCTCCTAACTGTTCTTCCTGCTTCCACCCTGGCCCCACCGCTGCAACACAGCACCAGAGTAACCCCTGCAAATCCCAAGTCAAAGAATGTCTCCTGTCTCCTCCGTGGTCGCTCATTTCATTCAGAACAAAAGCCAAGGTCCTCATAGGGCATCTCCTGTGCTGTGCTCAGTCATGTCCGACTCTCTGCGACCCCCTGGACTGTAGCCCGCCAGGATCCTCTGTCCATGGGAGTCTCCAGGCAAGAGTACCGGAGTGGGTTGTCATGCTCTCCTCCAGGGGCTCTTCCCGACCCGGGATCGAACCCAGGTCTCCCGCACTGCAGGCGGCTTCTTTACCAGCTCAGCCACCAGCTGAGCATTCGTGGTGCCAGACGCTCCGGCTCTCACTCACCTCCGTGTCCTCTGATTGCGCTCTCCCACACTGGCCTCCTTGCTGGGCTTCGGGTCTGCTGTTCCCTCTGCCTGGACCCCTGCTTCTGCCTCGCCCCCCACCTCACATGCTTGTATGGCGTGTTCCCCTGTTAAAGCCATTTCCCCCAAGGAAACCTTCCTATTCATTCAAAACCACAGGCCCCCATCCCTCCCTATTCTGCTTCCCACCTGGATTTTTTCCCATTGGATTTATAGCCTTCAAAAAGACTACAGAATGTGTTTACTTTGTACATCGTCTGCATTCACTAGCATCTAAGTACCAGGAGAGTCAGATATGGTCTATTTTTCTTCACTGCTCTATGCCCAGTGCTTGGTACATAATAGCTGCTAGAAAATATTAGTTGGGTGTGAATGAATGTGCGGCTTGTTTTAAAAAGATCATTCTCAGTGAGAAGTTGGACTGTTAAAAAAAAATTCAGGGAATTTCAGCCAATTATACACCTAAGCACATCACTCTTATATATATTTTTTAATTTAAAGGAATTGTAGTAAATATTATCATTACCTGCAAAAGCTATTCTCCTCTCTCCATCTCTTTCATGCTGATACAATTCTGATTTTGTTTGGGATGTGTGTCCCTACTTCCAGGAGTGGAATTACAAGGGTCTAAGCCAGTTCTGGCAATTCTAGAAACTCACTTTTTTCATCCCTTTGCACCTACAGCTGGCTGAATGACAGAGTTACTGGATGTGACGACGTTAGCTGGGCACAGCTGGGGAGGATTCTGCCCTCTGGTCGAACGAATGCTCTCTTTGACCTTTTCTGCTCTGAGTCTCCAGATGTCTGGGACAGCAATTAGTGATTGGGAGTTGACAGACATAAGAAAGGAAGCCCTCACCAAGAGGATGGCGGAGCAGAAAGACACAAAGAGCCCATCTTTGATGATGCTACTGAGCCTTTGGACCAAATCCTGGAGCTACCTACTTTCAGACTTCCTGTTTTGTGGAAGACTTTTATATCTTTTTGCTTAAGCCTCTGCTTGTCAGATGTTCTGCTGTTTTTAACCAAAAGCATGCCTAATAGGTACAGACCTAGGTGAACCTTGGGGTGAACTGTGACATCAAGCAACACCATACCCAACTGAATGTATGCAGATTCACGGAGCTTCTCAAACCTCAGGGGGCATCGGAATCACCTGGCCAGCTTGTTAGGTTTCCAGTCCCAGGACCCTTCAGAAATTCCAATGCAGGAGCCCCGGGGTGGGCAGGGGACACCGGCTGTGGAGCCATAGAGAAGAGCCCCTCCGATTCCTACCAAGAAAAAAGCTGCCTTTCAGCTGCAAGGAGCACAGTCAGCTGACGGCCTTGAAGAGCTGGCACCTGCAGGATCCACCCTCATTTCTGAGCCACAAGCAGTGTAGCTTGGTGAGGGTCTAGGACGTGGTTGCTCCTGCCCATCGTGGGGCTCTTCCGGGTGGTCTTTGCTCTGAAGCTTACCACTGGCTTGGCTGAGACTTGGCGGACCTGCGTCATGCTCTCATCACTCTCTGCCCAATTCCGCTTCCTTCTCTCACATTCCCAGGTGCCAGGCAGGCACTGGGGTGTGAAGGCTCCATGCTCAGTGCTACAGCTTCTTCTTTCTGCCCCTCGCAGGCACTGCTGCTCAATAAACCTCTGTGCTCCTAATTCCTCCCTAGGAACTGCTTCCTGGAGGACCCAACTAACATAACAAAACGTTTGTAAGAAGCCCCGAGGGATGATTCTAATGCAGGTGATCTGTGAGTCACGTGTGGGAAATGCTAGCGTAGGACTTGGAGTAAGGAACAATCCTTACCCCAACTCAGGGGACGGTAAGAGATGTTGTCCCAGCCTCTTCACTCTTTGGTGATACTTCATTTTTCCCACCGGTACCTCTAGCGTGAACATTGGGCAAACGGGCCCAACCGTAGTACCAGAGAGCAAACTTTGTGGAACAGACCATTTGCTGTTGAGTCATTTTACAAAACTTGTAGAAAATGGTGGTATGTGCAAGTTCACCCTGTTCTGGGGTTGTAACACCGGAACAACTTGGCCATGCCTTTACTTTCCTTTTTCTGCCGCTAGAAGGCCCATCCGCGGTTCCACTTTCTTCTGGACACTCTTTATTTCCCTCTTTGGGATAACAGGGACTGGAGAAGGGAACTGCACACCCTGGGGGGAAGCATATCACGGAGGCCCATGGGAAAGAGGTGCCCCGGTATGGCGAACGCCACTTGACCACATTCCCTGGAACCAGATTCACCTGAAGCTCACTTTTCAGGTGTCTACCTTTCAACTGACTTTTTAACTAAAGTCCATCTTTGGATTAGCGCTGAGAAACCACAACTGACAGATAAAGCCTAAATCGAAAATTTTAAATGCTCATTGAATAGAACCAACCCCGCAAAAGTCAGCAAAGAAAAGAACAAATGGTTCCCCTGTTATTCTTGATATTCTATCCACATCGTAAAGTGCCATTTTGTAGTGAGTGGTTCAGCACTAAGTTTGGATGAAGTGAAGTGAAAGTCGCTCAGTCACGTCCAACTCTTTGTGACCCCATGGACGATACAGTCCATGGGATTCTCCAGGCCAGAATACTGGAGTGGGTAGTCTTTCCTTTCTCCAGGGCATCTTCCCAACCCAGGGATCAAACCCAGGACTCCCACATTGCAGGTGGATTCTTTACCCACTGAGCCACCAGGGAAACCCCAGGACCAGGAGAGCCTTACTCAAATTCGTCTGCACTCCCCGAGGAGGCAGATGGGCTCAAGGGGCCGCTACTGGTACCAAAGCTCCGGGTCCTCGTGGAGCCCAGTTGAAGGAAGGAAGTCCACTCTGGGTCACTTCATCGGTCACCATAACTGTCGACTGAAAAGAGATGTACAACTTGAGAGCTGTGAGTTAAGTTTTATTTGGGGCAAAATGAGGACCGCAGCCCGGGAGGCAGCATGAGCGCTCATTTTTCCAGCTCTCCTGGTGTCGGTGTCCTGTGACGGCAGCAAGGACGTGAAGCGCACACATCCCTCGCTGGCCCTCCATGCACTGGGTAGCTAAAGCCAGGAGTCTTCCTGTCGTGAATCTCCTACCTTGCAGACCGAGCTCAGATATGTCCGCCTACTCCCTGGTGAGGTCTCCGACCCCGTCAGTGAAACACCTCGTCTCCTGTCTTTCTTGTTGGGCCTCGTCACCCGTCCTCTGGACTCCTCTGGACCGTCACAAGAGTCCCCGTGCTTGCCGCCTTCTCGATCTTTCTCTGCAGGGCTGTTTCCTAACTCCCAGCCTTCCGATGACTCTGCCTGAAGGCTCGTGGTTGGCCTACAAGTCCTGGAGCAACCCAACCCCTTTCCTCCTCCACAGCATCATCTCCCTGCTCCCTCCTCCTTGTTCAACATGTTCCAGCCACTCTGGGGTTCTTGCAAATTTTTTTTTTTTTTTGAGTGGGCCAAGTTCTTTCTCATCCCTGCTTATAACTCTCTTCCATCTACTTCTCATCAGAGTCACCACCGCCTAAG